CTACATTTTTTCAACTTACAATTAGTCTAAAACTTAGTCTGAACTTAAATCTACGATTTAAACTATGTATTTCGAGGGTTTACGAGTTTTCTCGCTTCCCCTCTCTATCACGTACATACGCATCTCCTCCTCTCCATAGATATTTACATCATTATTATTTATTACTAGGCTTTTTTGGGCATTAGTGGGTGTTATTTGGCCTTGCTGGGGCATTATAAAGATAAAGTCAGATGAAATAAGATGAAACAAGATAAATAAGACAAAATAAGATAATAAGATAAAGTCCAGTGGGCATTGGTGTATCAGTGTTTACGCCTCGGGAAATACATACATCGCCTATTGTTCTCGATAAACGTTTGATATTGCTAAGGATTTAACGAAGAGACTGCAGCTCGCAAACGTCTTTCGTCTTCCAACGTCTAATTTCTGTTTTATCGTTTAAGATTTTTGTATTGGCGTCTCGAACTTTAAACGAAGCCTATTCGTCGTCGCCACGTCGAAGTGGCTTTTGCATTCTATCTGTCGAGTCTGCGACTTATTTTATTGTATCGCGGAAATTGCTGAGAAACGCGCAGTATTAATAATTACCTTAAAAAAACAACCTTTTTAAAAAGGTAAAAAACACCAAGTATAAGCGCCGTCCAATCAAGAATTATGTAATTTAATTTTTTAGATATATTTTGTTAGAAAAAGTCATTTTTATTGTCTCTACCAAAGTAATGATATCATCGAATTGCGCCAACTAAAATAGATATTTATACAAACTAGATACTTTATTATTTTTTATATTAAAATATTATATTCGAACAATCGAGCGTAAGATTGCCGAGAAACGCGCAGTATTAATAATGTGTAGCACCGTAGCATGAAAAATAGATCAGCGAAAGCTAGATATACGGAAACTAGACCAGTGGAAGTCGCAGAATAGAAATTGCACGTACATACATACATGCATACGTCCTTTACAATAAACGACCGTTTTCCAAAGGTGGCGCTTTATCACCTATATAACTCGTGTCTCACGACGAGTATCACAATCGATTAGAGATCACGAAAGCGGAGAGCTCTTGCCAACGATCGGCGGAGGCGCCCCTTCGAATTTTCGGAAAACCGTTTCGAAATGCCAGGCCGTTTCGCGCGCGGATCGCGAGGCTGGATTTAAAATCTGAAAGGAGCCCTGCCAACGTTGGAATAATGATTGGCGACGACAGTTTGGGGTTGCTGGCCGCTTCGCGAGAGCCAACCGACCGAGGACGGGAGGGGAGCGGAGGGGGGGGGGGGGACGAGTGAGTCATCGTTGAGCCAGGCCAGGCCTTAGCAGCCGCAGGTCAGGAGAGGAAGACACTTTTAGCCCACATTTCTTCCTCGCCTTCTCTCTCCTTTTCGCGCGCACACGGCGCTCCTTTATTTTTATCCGCCGCCGTTTATTCTCGGCCCGCCTGTCGTTTCTCCCTTTCCGCCCATCCCTCCCTCCCTCCCTCCCCGCCCGCTGTTCGCGATGTCCCACCCCCTCGTCGTTCGTGTCGTCCTCGGACGACGGGCATCACCCCTCCGGGAGATTCATCTCCGTGCCTCGTCCCCGCGACTCTCGGCAGCTGGCGGTTTTTACGTAAGTCCGCGGAGAAGGATCTCCCGCGAGAGCCTGGCGCTTTCTATTTTCCAGCGGCACGAATGTAGTCTTGCTCGTTGATACTTGGACCTGCGTTTTTATCGTCATTTTTCTCATCTATACAAATCACTGACAATGAGTTTCAGGCTGTGCATACTTCGATAGAAGCTGTGTAAACTACAGTCTGAAACCCATCGATGTATATACAGAGAAAATGATTTCTTTGAATTCAATAAATTTCGTTGTATCCAAACAAATTTGATATTTGGAATGGACCAAACAAATCATTTGTTTAAATTTGAAATAATATATATCTTTGTCTGAAATAAAATATTTATTTGAAACAAAAAGTATATTCTCTTTACTCTAAATGATATTGTTTTGTTCAAGCAACATTGTCGTTTGATAAAAAATATGTGAAAAATGTACACACATACATCTTTTTCCCTCTACGTTAGACTTTTCTCTTCATGGGAAGAAGCTTTCTTCTTCCAATGAAAGATAAACACTGAATTGGTACACTATGTTCAGCTATAAAGAATAGACCATTAGATGATTAGGTTGCGTCTGCTGCTGCGGTCGCTTATATGCCTGGCCGCCATGATTTTACTTACGAGTTCGATGGCCATCTAGTGGCAGCACCGAACTTTATAAGCGCCTGGGCAAATAATAGTGTCTTTTCCATCAAATAATAGAGATGGTTTGAATAAAACAACAAAATTTGTATTCAAACAAATAATGTTTATCGTATAAGCATATGTTGTTTCAGTGAAACCAATTTCAATTACATAAATAGGAATACTAAATCTAAAGAAACCTTTTTCTCTGTGTAGATGGGAATAAAGATCATGATAATGTAAAGCCTAGTAAAACCAAAGTGTAACTAGTAGGTCCACTCTCTGTCGGCTCCTGTGATCTTTGCGGTCCAGTTCACGTCGTATTCCGCCATTATTTTGGGCAGCAATTCAGTGGCGTATGTGTGTGTGTGTGTGTGTGTGTGTGTGTGTGTGTGTGTGTGTGTGTGTGTACCATACACATAACATATCTAGACCGAGCATTTGCCTCTATTTGAGCAGTGAGAAAAGGACAAACTCTGTTTTGTGCTATTTCGTTCGCATGCAACGTTCGCATGCAACCGAGAGAGAACGAAATAGCACGAAACAGAGTTTGTTCTTTTCTTCGTGAACCTCTATCTCCACTGATCAATGCTTGGTTTAGATATATTAGAGGTTTTTTCTGTTCCTGCACTGGTGAACTAGTGCAGTAAGCTAAAATGAGAAAAAATATACTAATATACTTGTTTTACTCCAATTTATTGTACTAATTTACCAGTGCAGGAATAGAAAACAAACTTAATGTCTATGGTGTGTACTGTAGTGATGTGTGGTATTATAGTGTATCAGAGCTGCACCACCATACATACAATTTTTCTCTCACTGGTCTGTCCAGAGCAATGTCGGATGCGCAGAAGGGGTCGACGCAAAACGAAACGAATGACTGAGTGGATCTACTAGTTATACCTACTGTGGTAAACCTGAGGTCCAGGCATTAATGAATAAGACTGTACGTACGAGCGTCTCGGAGCCTCTCCGGGTCTTTCGCGAACTCGACGTTCCACGAAACGCGAGAACCGCGACGCGGACCTTCCCTTTCTGTCCGCGTTTGCTAATCGCCAGGACAGCCAGTCGCGAGGTGTCTATTTCCGGAGATCCTTTCGGCAATCGACCGCTTTCTTAATCGCCCGAGACTTCGAATTCCGCCTCGGCTGTCTGATCTGTCAATGAAATCTTCGATTTCTGGACCGCTCAGGCTTTGATCGCTTCTCGTGTCCTCTTCTAGATGCTTTAATAGAATTCTAAACCCTTAAAACGTCCGAACGTCGAATTTCCGAGATCTTGGGGCGACGATTAAATTTCTAAAATCCTAGGCCCTTTCTGGGTGAAAAAAAAGGATCGACGTATGACTAATGATTAACAGCTCTTGACCGAGCCTAGGACTTTAGACATCACTGTAGACCGGACTTAGGCCTTTAGACATTCAATGGTTGCACGAAAACTTCAGAAACTCGGTCCTTTTTCTTTCACCCAGAAAGAAGAAGGATCGACATACAGTTCCGACTTCTGCATGACTAACACAGCTCGTTGTAGACCGGACCTTCTGTCGCTCGAGACCTTTAAGGGGATGCTGGAGTGATTCTGCACTTTTGCACCTCTCTAACCTAAAAACTGTCAGTTCGCGGAAACATTTGTGTAGTATACAAATTAAATGGCTTACGTGTACAGATCGAAAGCAGCTCGCTATTCCGGCCAAATGAAAGAACAATATGGCATCACTGAAACTAAGTTTGTAAGTCCAATAAGAAATAATAGTGAGCAACACATACGTACACTACATGTAGCATGTGTGTTGCTCACTATTACTTTTTATTAGACTTACAAACTTAGTTTCAGTGATGTCATATTGTTCTTTAATTTAGCCGGAATAGCAAGCTGCTTTCGATCATCTGTACACGTGTGCCATTTAATTTGTGTATTACACAAATCTCTCCACGAAACAGACAGTTTTAAGTGCAAAAGGTGCGAAAGTGCAGAATCACTCCAGCGTCTCCTTAAGATCTCTAACTTTCCGGACGAGACGTTACGTTACGCGGACGGATCGTTTACAATGCGACAAGTAAATAAATTAATTTATCTGATCGATCATTCGTGAAACATTTATCTCGACTTACGTACAGAGTGGTTTGGAGTTATCGTGCACCTTTCCAAACACACGAGCGAGCGGTTGAACTAGACCGTCAACGCGAGATAATGTCAAATTGACGAGGCGAAGCAAGATTGATGTAGCGCGACGTTGTTCGGCCAGTGTTTCTCGCAGGATGAGCAAAAGGGGGAAAAAGTCCGCATTCGCAAAAGTCCGCGGATTATAAATGACGATTCTGTAAATGGCGACTATAAAACTGCCGTAAATATAGAGTACGAGATCGTCAAGCGAGTTACAATTATTTCGGAGCGGTATAAGTATATCCGAGTTAATCGATAAGCCGGCTCTCTCGGCGACGTTTCTCCCAGTATTTCTAACAGATATAGAATCGTGACCGGCCATGTACTCATTGTTTATCGACGGCAAGCGTTGTGTATACGTTCTATATATGTATATACGTTCGAGAGCAAGCACGCATTGTTCGCCGCGTTAATTTTCACCTCGCGCGAGATAATTTATCCGTGAGATCGTTTCTTAAACGCGGGATCAACCAGTATTGTCCCACAGTGGAACGAAAATTCAAAGGGTTGCCCGGCGTTCCACTTTCCCTCACATTCGTCAGACATTAATAACCGAATCAGTGTATACGTATGACGTCTCCCTCACTGATTAATTGTCAAAAATGTTTCAGGCGGACACCGGGAGTTCAGCAAGCGGCACCGAGAGCTATGCGAGGACACGCTTCTGCCGAACGGCGCCGCCGCCGCCGCCGCCGCCGCGGCCGCCATTGCCGATCCGTCGGCGACGACGACGACGGCAACGACGACGACGACGACAGCGACGACGGTGAGCGGCTGCACGAGCCCCGGGCCGGGATGCCCCGTGCTCAGCATCTCCGGTCCACCGACCCCGCAGCCGGCCGACATCGACAACCACCCGGCGTCCCGCGTGCTGCCGTTTCTCTACCTCGGTAACGGCCGGGACGCCGCCGATCTGCAGCTACTGCGCGCCCTCGGCGCCACCCGGGTGCTGAACGTTACCTCGCAGCTGCCCGGCTACCACGAGGAGCGGGGTATCACGTACAGGCAGATACCCGCTTCGGACTCCGGCCATCAGAACCTCAAGCAGTACTTCGAGGAAGCATTCGATTTCATCGGTGAGCACAGTGCGGCTTGTTCGTATCGTTTTCAGGCGTTGGGCCCGGATAGCTCAGTTGGAAGAGCATTCGCCCGGCAAGATCCAGGTTCGAGTCCTGGTCTAGTCCTAGCCCGTTATTTTCTTCACCGAAAAATTAATAAGCGCGCCTTACTTTAGTAGCGCGGTGCATTGGTCAAACTTTGGTCAAACATTGGTCCGTATCGGGCCAATGTTTAGCCAATGCACTGTGCTACTAGGGCAGTACCTACCTATGGATTCCGCCATGTTTTTGGCCCAAATTCAGCGGCACGTGTGCGTGCGTGCTCAACAAAGTTACACTACCACACGATTGTCTTATTGGTTGGGCCCAAAAGAGGGCCGCGCGGCATAGCACTTTCTCGTAAGAAGAAAACCGCACGCGATGTTATAAATTATATCACGTACTTTTCATAATTCAAGTTTTCTTTTAAATTATTAAGGTAAGTTACAACTTTAAAACTTTTATTTAAGGTAAACTTGAAACCTTGAGAATTTAAAAGAAAACTCGAAGAATTGTGAAAAGTACGCGATATAATTTATATTGCCGCGTGCGGTGTTCTTGTCACGAGAAAGTGCTACACCGCGCGGCCCTCTAGCGGGAGCTGCGACAGGCTTGACTGTTTAAAAGTTACTTTAAATGTCCAAAATTACTCTAAAATTTCTTAAGCGAACTTTTAACTTCTTTAAGTAAACGCTTAGATTTGAGAGATCATTTTTAAAAAGTTCAATTTCATTTAAAGTAAATTCCCCCAAGGGCATTCTCCCGCGAACGCGAGTTTCGCAACAACGTGGATATAATAATTGAAAAGGTCGACACGCGTATCTCTTCGAGCCTCGATACCGCAGATATCCGCACGATGATCGTCGGTTAGACGTAATTTCCACGATTACGCCGGCGGCACGCTTCCTGCCGTTGTTGTTCCGGTCGCGCCGTTGCGTTCATTCCGTTATTTCGCGGCAAGTAGTAGCGAGCCCATGGACGGAAACAGGGTGTAACCAGGCGTTTCCGGTGGACCATTGAACCAGAGCGCCCGAACAGCAGGAGACCAGAAGAACCTTCCATTCATGAAGGCATGAGTCATGCGCGCGCGCGCGCGCACGAAACGTAAGAGACTTCCCCCTTCACCCTTTGACCCTGCGCTCTCTCTCTCTCTCTCTCTCTCTCTCCTCCTTCATCCTTGACGTCGAGTCTCCTTCTCCCTCACGTTTACGCGCCGTTCCACGCGCGCGCCGCGCATCTGCGCGGAGAGGAGACGCGAGAGGGCGGGGAATTACGCGTGGAAGGGAAGCAGGGTGGCGGTCGTGCGTGGCGATTGTAAGGGCTCGAAAAGGGACGAGAGAGAGAGAGAGAGGGATGGAGGGAAACGGACCTCTCTCCCCGAGCGTGCAACTGGTGGAATGCCGGTTGAATAAACCGACTCCGCACCCTGTCGTCGTTGTGGCACCCGATCCCGAAGTTTACTTTCGAGAAACTCATTCCTTCACGCGTCGTGATTCGCTTAATCACAAATTCGACGATGCCGAGCAGCGATCTTTTCTTTTCCTTTTTTCCTTTTCGTCAGACTCGCATTTTTTTCCACGAGCGCGTTTGCGGCGAAAAACGAGGAGCGTCTTTTCCTTTGTTGTAAACTTAAAATTGTCTGGATCATTATTGAGATTTATTTAATAAGATATATTTAAACGTACGTAATTGTCTTATTTTTTAATCTGAACTTTAGTTTTTGTACCAGGCGTTTTTCGGTACAAAACGTAACAGAAATTTTTTCTTTTTTTATTATTATAATAACTTAAGAGTCCATTTAGATTATATTATTAAGGTTTGATAAGCGGTATTTTTCTCCTTTTTCCTTGCGTCATGCGTCTTCTTAGAAACGTAGGAGACATTGGCTCTTTCATCGTGATCGATACAAAACGTAAGAAGAATCTTTTCTCCTCTTATTATAATGACTTAAAAGTGTTCGGATCACCGTTAGAATCTAATAAGATTTTTGGAGTACTTGTATTCATCTTTCTTTTGTTATTAGCTAGATTTGCAATTTTGGGAAACGATACTGAATGACTTCTGCAAATTTAATCATTATGATATTTTATATGAAGGCATGGCCAATAAGATGGTCAGTGACATAAACGAAAAATTACAAACTTTTTTTTTCTTCTTTTACTACAGTCGATTTAAAAGTATTCGGATTACCGTCAAGGCCCGGCATTAAGATCTATTGTGAAGCACGACTACAGCTACCTTCCGAAAGATGCGATCGACTTGTCCCACGCAATCGAATTCTCTCGCAGCGCGATACAACGTTTGCATAGTCTGCATAGGATCCGGGCGATGCAGTGACTCACGCTGGCGATACGATAGCGTCCCCCATACATTGCATAACCCGAGTCGGCCGTTCGAGTTTCACGACTGTTTCAACGGTTTACAAGCCCGAGTCGTTCATACTTTTCAAAAGCGCGCGCGACAAAGTGAGCCCGTGAAATCTGTTTCAATCCTAAAGAGGACTTCGAGCCAAACGTGATGAGACACACATTTTTCGCACGCGCTGGAACGACTTACAGTCTATAAATTACCTTCGAATATGTGCCTTTAATCACAGTATAGTTTTTGAACGATTACCGATAATAAGGCATCTAAAAAATATTATGTCTTATTGAAAAGAAATTAAATCCAATAACAATTACAAAATATAGAGGAGATGGTACAGGGTGTCCAGCTAACTCAATGAAAAAAATTCCCTGACTTTCTCAGGTTTTCCAGGAGCCGGAATTAATCTTTCCCTGACCGTTTAGCGTAACTTTTTTCAAGATGCGTAATTTGCGTACGTCTGTACGGTAAATCAAGTAAATGTTAAATGACGAAGTCGTTAAAATATTTTTCTCGGAAAACAAAAGCCCGAAATTTAAAAAGGTAGAAATTTAAATTAAAGCAATTATACCATCTATGTATAATACATTGTGTAAAAGGAACGAACATATCATTACAAACCATTCGAACCATTTGTAATACCGTACGTAATCATATATGATGCTTTCGTTTTGCTTAACTGCATATTGTTTGTAACTAGATGGTAACTTATTGTATAGTACTGTTTAGTAATTCATCTTTTTCCTATAGTTTTGTCTCATTGTCAGTGGAACACATTGAAATAAAATAATACGGATATAAATTACCGACCACGTTTATAAATAAATGTATGTTTAGCAAAACAGAAAATTAGTGCACTGAGAGCCAAGGAAAAGTTTACTTTCTAAGACTTTCCTGATATTTCCAGATTTCTAAAATTCCCTGACGATTCCATGTTTTCCAGATTTCCCCGACCACTGGACACCCTGTAGTAGGCTTTCAACACCCAAATTTAATCGCAAATCTTCTTTCGCAATGATCTAACAATGAATTTTCCACCAAACAGATTTCGCCCCGAGGGCAATAAATTCATGGTGGAACCAACAGACAATGCCTATTAATTTAGCAGAAACTATCTCATAATACTTTTCTCTCCCAACGAGAAATGACTCGTCGACTCGACATCGCTTCGACATCGATCGACGAGTCATTTCTCACTGGGGTACTGCCGTTTCTTTCGCGCATTCTTTCCGTTGACTTCTTCTTTTAGGAGACTTTGTTAAATTAAGAACAAACTAGAGTCAGGTACTTTGTCATCGGTAATTTTGAAAAGCGATAGCTTCTCCCCCGATTGTCGAGTAAATCTCTCGTCATCGCTGCGATGAAGAAGAAAGGAAGCGCGTATTCATCATGTCGCAATTTGTCTCTTATTCCAGAGGAAGCGCGGAAGGCCGGAAGTAGCGTACTGGTGCACTGTCAGGCTGGTGTGTCGCGCAGCGCAACAATCGCGATCGCTTACATAATGCGACACAAAGGCCTGTCGATGGTGGAGGCGTACAAACTGGTGAAGAACGCGCGTCCGATCATCAGCCCGAACCTGAACTTCATGGGTCAGCTGTTGGAGCTCGAGCAGGGCCTGCGGGCGGCCGGTGATGTCGTCAGTTCCGCGCCGGAGGAGCCCGCGGCGGCGACGGCGACGTCTTCGACGACGACGGCGGCGGCAGCGGCGTCGTCGACCGCGACGTCGGCGACGGGTAGCTGCCATCAGTGCAGGTGGAGTCATCAGCCTAATAGCGAGGAGGTGGTCACCTCCGGCTGCAGCGTCTGAGACCGGCCACCTCTCTCGTACCTCCTTCCTCCGGTCTCTGCCGAGAGCGCCGGATCGTCAGCGACGGCGTCGGTGCGTCGCGAGGGCGCAAACATATCCCGGGAGATCACCGAGAGAGCGAAGTGCCGGCGGACGTCCTTCCCGCGCCTCCACGCGACGAACCCGGACGACGAATGAACGCGGGGCTCCGCGGGATTGGATCGCCGATATTCCCCGTCCGAGGAAATCGGATTCAACCGCGCGAGGACGTTCTGCGAACACGAACAATGACGCCCCCCCCGCGGCATTCTTTCTCGAAATCCCGGAACGCGGATCTGCGGAATTTTCGGCTTTCCAAATCTTCGCGTTGCACGACACTTGGGTTGTCGCGTTTTTCACCACGGGCTCTTCAGTCTAGAAACTATTGGCTCTTGAGTTTTATTTTACTTCTTTTTTTTTAAGAATTAGTACGTTTTTTCCTCCCGGATTCTGTGCCTTCGGGACGACCATTCGATTGAAAATGGTGAAGTCAAACTGCCCAACTGACAAATCGCGACTTATTAAGGGACTCGAGGGGACACAAATGTATGAGGAAGACATGTCGTATTTTTACGAGAGACGATTTATCTCTGTGGATGATTAAATTGTTATTCCTTATTAGTGCCACATACCGAAATTAGCTCGTACGTTCTACACGCGATGATAAATCAGTTTGAATCGTTGCGACGTAACTTCTTCATGCGTATCCACGAAAAAGAAAGAAAGCTACAGGGAAATTGTCCACTGCGGATAGGCGTGAAGCGGGGCAGGGAGCGTATTTCGCGCGAGACGAATTCGAGCTCGCTTCCAGCTTCGCTAACGAGCAGCAACGCATCGCGATTATTTATTTTCGAACGACGTTCGCGCGAACGGTGAACATATAACTTGTACTTACGACACACGGTGTTCCATAATACGCTTGGTCGAGTCAACGGGGAGGCAAGTGAAACGTAGCAGAATGCTCGCCTACGAGCTTCTCATTAAACGGTTGACTGTCGTCTAACATTATTTATGTAAGAGGAAGCGGAATAGAAAGATACGAAATCGACGGAAGTGACTGTTCCAATGACTAATTATAGGCAGCTTATAACGCGGAAAGAAACGCAGGACGAAACGTTGAAAATTGGTCCTTGTAACCGCGAAGGTTGAATAACATTGATAATTATAGAGATCCATGAGTCTCTATTAGTGAGATATTATTTAACATTAGACATTTCATGGTTTAAGCATATGTTCATGTAAAAATTAACGGTACGTAGTCTTATTCATTGATGCCTGGACCTTAATTTTACTAGGATTCACATTTTCATAATCTCTGTTCCCATCTGTAGTTCACACAGCTTCTATAGAAGTTTGTGGTGGTACATACAGGCTGAAACTCGGTGATTTGTATAGATGGAAAAATGATTATAAAAATAGAGGTCCAGACCAGGTCATTAGTGAATGAGACTGTACATAATTATTCCTAAATTAGTGTCACTGATTGTGAGATCTTGCGGAGCTATCGTTAAACATCTAAGATTAAACCTTGACGAACGTGAGAGGATCGTTTAGGTCAGCGTAGCGCGCGGACAAAGTAAATCAGAATTGGCGAAACTAGACTTCTTCAACTTTCAACCGGGCGCTTGCCTCTCAATTGACTCGCCGCAGGTCAGGCATGAAGTTTTAGTAGGAAAACGATTTTCTGCATAGAGAAAGTAATCGTCGACTCAACATGTACGGGGTGTCGCGAGGACAAAAATATCGAGAGTCTAGTCTTTCAATGAGTAGCAATTGTTTTCTCGATAATCGAGCCTCGCGTCGGGTAATTTTTTTTTTTGGTATGTATTTTCTGTTAACGAGAGCGCGGCGACAATTTAATTAATTTTCAATCGAAATCGATAAACGTCAAACATGGTGCGACAGGGATTTTGTTCAGAGATCTCTGATGCAGAAACAATATTTCGGAAGAGATGTCACATATTTTTATGGTCTTATCACTGTTTTTAGCCGGCATTTTATTTTGTGTGGACAAATAAAGGATTATTTTGTATTACTTTCAAAAGCTTTTCTTTAGAATAACATGTATTTAACGAAAAGAGTGAAACGTACGCGATTATGAGCGAAGAAAGCAGAATTTTTTTTCTCGAGAACACGAAACTCTGACGCTGATATAATATAAGTAGTTGCCTAATCGTGTTCATGTATACAGCGTTAAAAACATTAGTTGAATGCAGCAATACTATAGAGCGAGCTTTGCAAAAAGATTGTAGAGATGACGAAATTACAAAATCCGAACAAGACAGTAGCGTCGCACAAAGTGTGCAATGTCGCGATCTTTTAAAGAGATACTTTTCTATTCTGAGCGGATATTGTCGCATTTTTTCACGATATAAAGATGAGGATTTTTATCTTAAAAAAAATATTTTTATCTGACATTGAGTCAGTGATCGGTCAATAAGTGTAATCGATAACTATTATCTATTTCTACAAAGGAGATTGTAAATTCTATCTGTAGGCAAATACTTTGGAGCTGCGGTATATTTCCTCTCTCGAGGCACCCTGTACATCATCACGCGAAATGGAATGTTAATTTAACGACGGGTCTTCTGTGGAAGAAAGGAAACTGTTTACTAAATAAAATTCGTTAACGATCGTTAGCGATTAGTTAATACACCCGGATAAATTGAAGAACTAATGGTGAAAGAGAGAAACGGGAGAGAAGAATATAGGTACAATAAAGCGTAAATCGTTCGAGACCATTGACCGAGAGCGGGGGAGAGTTCGCCTGTCTGCGTCCGTATTTCGATTGCGGCGCGCAAATTGCGTTGATATTTGATAAAGGAGAAATAATAATATATCGTTCACTGAGAATAGCTTAGTTCGTTAAGCTCCCTTAGCATTTAAGGATCTGATTGAGGTCCAACCATCGTAATCTAGTCGTTTGTTGGGATGATGATACGTACACGATGATGCGAGTGACGCGAGACACGATAGCGCGAAGATGCTCTTGTAGTTTACGGCAACGGGGAAGAGAATGATGGTCGTGATTGCGCGAGACGTATGTAATTATTAGACGATAAGAGACGCAAGGAATATTTCTTTTTGCGAGGGTGGGAATCGGAGGGTTGGTTCCAGTTGGATTTGTACATGAGCGCTCCGTGCACATTTATCCAGACGAGTCGCTCTTAAAGATACGACCAAAAACACGACGCAAGCGAGTGTTCCAAAGCGCGAGGTGCGCGTCAGCTCTTGCAGCTCAGTTTGCAACGTAGACGAGAACCACTGCCGTGCGAACAACAATCTCGCGGTTCGACCAACGAAAAATATCACGCGGTCGCGGTGGCGCCTTGTTAACGACTTAATTACAGCCGAGACAATAACTTCGTGATGAAGCTAATAACGCGAATCGCGGGAGAAGGGTTGCGAACGACGGGGGAGGGGGGAGGAGGGGAGCAAAGAGAGAACCAAGTTCCTTAGGATTTTGTCTACGACGACGAATTCGGTTAATTAATTCAATCTTGAAACAAAACGGTACATATCAGCGAAGCGTTGCCTTGCGATGAACGACGGTGAACTGAAAAAAAAAAAAGAAAACATAGTCGTAGAGGCGAACGGTGTAGACAATTAAACGATTTAAACGATTAGTTACCTTGCCAGCGATCGAGAGCAAAGATGAGGGTTGATATAGAAGCGTAGTACCTGTTGCATCACAAAGTGTGCATGTGTTTTATCGAGACCACTGGCAATGACCAATGCGACGACTTGCGATAAATCGTGGCGTGTTTTTCGTTAAAGGGCGGCGTAATTAAAATGGTTGATCAACGAGCCGTTCGGCCTTCGAGTCTTCGAAACGCGATTAGTTTTCCCCTCGAAGCTCGCGCGGCGAATGGGTGGAACTGGAGGATAAATCGGATTTTTTAAATAAAAAGTGCACTCGTTAATACTTTCGCTCATTTTGTCGACCTTTCTGCTCGTCGTGAAAACTCGAAGTGTAATCCTTTTAAGCAACGAGTTTTTCGTTTCAATCTGATTTTTTAATTTCGGTTCCATTCATTCTTTTGTTTATTACACGTAGTATTTATTCGTAAATTTTTTACGCAAGTCTTAAATCCAATTGACATTTTTGTATCAACTATTAATTATAGTCTTCTCGATGATATTAAAAATGATTTAATGTCAATCTTGAAAAATAGCCTTTCACAATTGAAACTAGGTACGCTTCTATGCGCGAGGAATCAAACTGACAGTCATTTATTGCACGTCGTCGTATCTTTTTATTGCCGAAGGATGCGTGCAAAGGGTCGCTTGCCCTTTCGAGATGTTTGCGCCTTTTGGAAGTATCTTCTTGCGAACCAATCGATATATATATATATTTCTCTTTAAACGCGACGTAAAGTATTTTAACAAAGTTTTATACAACATTTCAGAAAAAATCACACGTCGTGAAGCTTTACGGGTCGAAATATCTCCGGGGTCTTTTAGCGGAATAAGTTGCGATAACGAGACAAACGGATCCTCGAACGGGAGGATCGAAGCGTACATTTCGAAAGGATAAGAGCAAAACGGGAAACGTGAGAAAAACCGGGATGGGTTTGAAGGTGGGAGACCCCAAGTATGATCGGATCCCAACGATTTGTAATGTACAGCTACGTAGTGATTAGAGAACATTAGCGTAAAGATGTAACTATTGCGTATGTGCGTGCAAGTATTGTATTATATTAAAAATTTATTTAGTTATTTTATGAATAAAAAATGCAAACTCTTTTTGCCGGTTCACACTGGGGGCTGCTGTTTCAATGCCATACTTCCACTATGTCGCCATTCGGGCGATTCTCTTCTATTCCATCTTGTCTCACTTTAAACTACGCAACGAACACGGAAATTAATTGAAAAGAAGTCACTCTCATAAAATATGACGATTATGTCAATAAATATATGTATAAATAAAAGCAAATGCTAGATATGTCGAAAAGAACGAGGACTGGAATACGATAAATCATTGAACGCGCAATGAAAGTTTTTCTTCAAACAATTTTACACATTCTCGTTACATCGTCCCGCACAGTACACAAGTTTATCGCGGGAGTCTCCTAATCAAATGCATCGATTAATCGCTACAGAATCATCTGCGTGTCTATATGTACATAAAAATTTGTACGTCTCATATATATAATAACAATAACATTAATAATAATAAAATAATTCATAATCTTACAATATTGTGGTTGCAAGTATAAAACTTATATAGAACATCCATTCTTATATTATTACAATAGAAAACTGATTACAAGTCGCCTATGTCGTAATCGGCACTTTCACGTGGTTTCAATGTATCAGTTTGTCAGATTGGAAACATATTGAAAAAAAAAAACAATACGGCAATTAATCGGCAATAGAGATAGCATAGCGTTATCGATAATAAACGTGCGATCTGTGCCTGCGACCAAAGCCCTGCGAGTGATGATCAATCTAATTGTCACAATAACATTTTATAAGTGGAGAATTGCGATTGCTCTTTACAAAATGTAACTCGTATTGCAGCTTGCAAAAACGTACATACTTTCTGCAGCTAACACTGCGATTAGAGAATTATCTGTTTATTTATGACTCAATTTGCGATACGCACTGAAGTTCTATTTACTCACTACTTAGGTATGTCTTCCTTATTTGCTTAGGATGATCCATAAATCATGCAGGGGGATGCAGAAAATTACCACGAATGCAATGTGAAATGTCCTTTCAGTTTTATTTAACTAAATATCTAAGCTCTTATCGCTATTAATCTAAGTTGCTTTCGTTACGAGCTAATTCGTTTATATATTTAATTAAATTCTCAGCCTTTCATTTAAAACAACATAAGTGAGGATTAAACGTGATGTGCGATTTTCACTTTATTTTATAACTTTATAGCTTACCGATAGGAAAAAAGGAAAGCAAGACTCAAAGGATATACAGTTTTCCTTTCGGCCCTTACCTTTTAAGGATTAATATAAATTACGCAGAGATCTTTACATAAAAAGCTTTCTATAAAAAAATTCTACAGATAAAGGATTAATTCATCCTTCACATTGTATCATATTGAGTGAGAGAAAAAAAGCACACAATCATATCACAAAAACAATTGAAATATTTAGTGCAAGGTACAATTTTTACTTTAAACGGATTTAACAATTTCCGAAAATCCAAACGTAACGATAAGATTCTATCGGTTTAACACTCAATAGAGAAATCATTGGATCGTTCTCCGATCATTTTGCATTCTATAATATATTACATAAAAAAATATATATATATCACAATATCAACAATGATTAAAATAGTTAACGCAATACCGGATTTTCAGTCGTTTAGCCCCCTGCGGCTGTTACAAGTCTCCCAACAAGTCGAAAAATTGGGATACGATTAAAAAATTAGATTTGCATAGAACGAGCGAATCGTTCTTCAAAAACAAAAAAATCTTGCGAAAAGAATATACATATTAATAATTGAAGATCAACGGGGTGCGCGACTTATGGCTCATCCTGCAGCTCGGCGATTATCGTAAGGAGCGAAGAGCCAAGAAGGCGTGATCTTTATTACATGAAGAGGATTAGTTGCTGGCTAATGCAGCCATCGCGCGAATCAACGTGGCATTCTCCTCGCGAAGTCGGTCCCGTTCCAGGGTCATCTCGTGCTGCTGCTTTAAAAGGCGAGCCTCCAGCGCTATTATTTTGTGGTCCCGATCTTCCAGAAGGGACAGCAACCTCCTGTTTTCCTCTTGCGCTCGTTCGATCAGCTATAAAAGCGTCATACTTGATTACCAACCACGCTGTACGATTAGCAAATACAATAGTAAACGGATCTGTTTTTTATTGTAATAAAATTTCGGAACATCTCTTTTTTTTAACGATGAATATTTCTCGGTCCTATTTAGATATAAATCAAATTGAAATTTAAACGCCCATTGAATTAGGACCTAGGCAAGGTGGTGGCCATTAAATAGCTTAGTGAATCCATTTACCGTATTTTTCCTACTCTGTACTGTGCGCCGTTACTATCGGACATATAACACAGATTTTCCCCTCGGTAGGATCATTCTCGTCAGTAAATCTCTTTTTTTTGTTAAAAGTTAATTTAAATTACGCACGACTGGACATACTTTGTCTAATGTATTAATAGACTCACTTCGTGCGGATTGTCGCCCGTCGGCGTCGGCAATCTCGGCCTGACGGTTGCATTGACTGACGTCTGCGGCTCGTGATTGCCGTGGTCCGATTGATTAATGCTGTCGGATTGATTGAGAGAATCGAACTCCTCGTCATCGGCCTCCAAATCGGAGTGGCTAAAATGAGAACGTCAACAATCGCATGTAAATCACGTTGCACTCATCGTACAGATATCGAGTATCGATTTCCATTAGTATATTATGTATACTATGCCATTTGTACATAGCATTAGGCACGACCATCGATGCAGAGATACAAAGAATATTGCAATTACTGTTTTATTGTGGTACAAATATATCGTTTATTTCACTGAAAGTCTCTACTGCACTGGTATACTAGTTCAGAGGATAAATTTCGTAAACGAGAAACGAAAGACAATAATTATAATTCGAAGTGTTTATTGTATATAATTTTAAATGAGAAAATCTTCTCTCTCATCTCCCTTAAAATTATACGGGGTAGGCCGTTTTAATCTACGCACTGAAATCTCTCAAAATCCATGAGTTTAAGACAAAAGTTGTACGGTTTCGAGGGGGCCGTAATAGGGTACCATTGGTTTGACCTTGAAGAGTTATTTGAAGGTCACATGAAGGTCATGTTTAATTTTTTAAATGGAACACCCTATATATTCTTGCAGCTTACCTCGAGAGCTTTCCGAAACACTGTAATACAATTTTTTTTTATCAAGAACTTTTTTTTGAGTTGTAAAGCCTGATGGTTCCAATATTTTGACATAAATTATAAAATATCATAAAATATTCATTTTTTTACTATCTTCTCTTAATAGTTTTATGCACAGAATAATGTCGGCTGTTGTGGGTGCAGTTCCGATCCGCGCAACCTCCACGTGGTATACCTCGGGTACTGTTACTTTCAAGCTTTGTAACTCAAAGAATACTTTACGAAGAAACATTTTATTACAGTGTTTTGGAAAGGTCTCGAGGTAAGCTACAAGAATGTGCAAAAATATATAGGGTGTTCCATTTAAAAAAATTAAACGTGACCTTCGTGTGACCTTCAAATAATTCTTCAAGGTCAAAGCAATGGTACCCTATTATGGCCCCCTCGAAACCACACAACTTTTGTCTGAAACATTTTTGTCTTAAACTTATGGATTTTGAGATTTCAGTGCGTAGATTAAAATGGCCTACCCTGTATACAGGGTGAGTCTTTCCATATCCGACAAAATTTTTGAGAAGGTAGAACGGATCGAGATGAACGAAAAAGTCCTGTACCATTTTGCAATTTTCGTAATAGTTAACGAGTAATTAATTATTAAAAATCAGTCTTAGGCCAGCCTACCGCCCAATTCGAGCGCGTGGCGATCGATATTGCTGTGCGCACATCTCGCCACGCGCTCGAATTGGGCGGTAAGCCAGCCTAAGACAACGATTTTTAATAATTAATTACTCGTTAACTATTACGAAAATTGCAAAATGATACAGGACTTTTCCGTTCATCTCGATCCGTTTTACCTTTTCAAAAATTTTGTCGGATATGGAAAGACTCACCCTGTATAAGTACTTCAAGTTGATAATTATTGGCTTTCAAGCTTTCGCGGCTGCTGTCTTCTTCAGTCGTAATGGCTTCCGGATGGTTTTCGATAATTATTATTTACAATTTTTTTTATCATTTGATATTTTGTTACAAGCTCTTCATTACAATAATTTTTCCAAATACTCAACTCAAGATAATTGCATTAATTTTAATTTATGTTAACACAAGAAAACACGAGTAATTGTTCTGTAACTATTGCAATAGTAAATTACATAACATAACAAATTAACTAAGTCTTTGTTAGAAAAATTGTCAAGCTAATCACATTAAATTTTTTTTGTTTTAAATACATTCAAATCCAAGTATTTCGCATATCACATCCTTTGTATTGCAACAAGTCTTTCACATTCGAATTTCGCTACGGTTAATTACTTCATTATGCAGTCATTGTTTCATGTTAATTGTTATTTGTTGAGTATTTACAGTTATTTGGATACGTATGTAGGCTTCGGAGATCGGATTAGGTAGTTTGTTAATCGATTAGTCAAGATTCTACTAGCTCTAGCGTACTTCGTACAGGTCGTGCCTAATCGTAGCTCTTCCAATACGATGTAACGCACTTACCAACTGTGCCTAACTATACATGACCTGTATGAAGTACGGTAGTGCCTAGAAGGAGCAGTTGTGAGTCATTAAACGAGACAGTCAAAGCTACTGCACCATGACACAAAATGCTCGTTTCCCCAATTATCATTAGTTACACGTGAATATGGATGAGATACCTTTTGTTCCGCCTTTGTGTGTACATTCTGGCGTTCCGCTCCTGAAAAAATGCACGTTTATGACTGTTTAAAAACAAAATCGACTTTGAAGTAACAAGAAATCTTAAGGGTTCTAAATTTGCTGCTCTTTGCTTATCATGCATCATTACATGTACCGTGAGTTTTAAGGGGGGGAAAAAAAATTAATTAATCCCCGAAGGCGTCTTTGGATTTTGTGGAAATTTTGGTCGTGTAATTTTTGATCGCAATTAAACTTACTTCAATTAAAAGATACTAAAAAATTGCAACGATCGTTGTTTTAAAAATTTTCCATGACCGACGACGTACAAATTGAACAATTCCAATTTCTGTTGTAACAACAAATTAATCCCGACTGGTGTATTATATGTATATTCATAATTATACGGGTGTATGCGTAGAAGAGGGAATGTAAAACTGAAATATCTCTTCCTCTCAGCTTTCGGGACTATAAAGTGATGCACAGCACAAACTGCGTGTAAACTAATTTCGGTCTTCCTATACGAATCTTTTCCAGCGTACGCATTTGTCGGAACGTTCTGCGTAAAAAAGTAAAAAGTGGAATTGACTGCACTTACTTCTATTAATTCGTGATCAAGAAATTCATTGTGATGCGTGTTGTGCTTAGTTTCAAGGCAAGTGCCGCTAAGCTCCTCCTCGTCTTCCCCCGTACTACCTCCAGTACTCTGAGAAATTATGCATTTTACCAAATGTCCGAGACATTTTTGCAACACTTAAACATTCAAGAATAAAGTGAGCTATATCCCACAAGTTATAAGTTGCCAGACTTATCATTATAGTTGATGACAAATTTTTATGTATTAATTTAAATTAATATTTTCACGATTGTAGTCACAAGAAGCTGTTACATTATTTGAACGGCTATCATGTCGAGATTTCTTTTTAAGACTGTTTCTTTCCAAAATAGCAGTTTACTTTCATCCATGAATTTTTTTGTTCACGTGAAATTACTTTCTCCTTACCAAAAGCTTGGTAATAAAAGAAAGAATAGCGATTTATTTTAATCGGATTATGGAATGTTTTAGCTAAAACGCTGAAGACCTCGAATTTGAAAGATTCAAGGTAGAAAAACAGAACTGTGTGTATGCGTGTATGTGTTTGTGTAAAGATTTAAGAGTAAAAAGAAGTAGCTTTCAAAACTTGCAGAAATTAGAAACGCAAGATTGCACGATGCAAGGTTTCAACAACGCGTATGTCCAGAAATTCCATTGTTCGTAAATCCGTAGCTCTGTATCTGTAAACTCGATTGCTGTAAACTCGATGCTTTTGAAGACCGATTTTTTTTGCTCGCAATTCCAAAGGCCGCATTGTTATACTATACAATTCCCGTATTGTAATTTGATTCGAGCGGCTACTTATGGGCTGACTGACGATAATAATGGCGAACCTCTGTCGACGGTAAATGCACGACTCCTGTGCTACGCCGTTTTTCTCGCAGTTTCCGTCGATCACGTTGCTGCTTCCCCTTGTTTATATGCGTTGGCCTGTGCAAACAGGATACGACACTAAAGACACTAGAACCAGATCCAGAAAGTATATTAGGCAATTACGTAAAGTTCCGTGCATCAAGGATGCTGTTGGCTAATGGACACTCCAAGTGCGACAATGAGTTTCTATGATTTTTTTTCTCTATCAGCTTTAAGCGCATCGCGACATTTACATACCGGCCGGTCACGCGTTTATCCTGTTTCCTTATTATGGGCTTGCTCTGCGGGTTTTCGTGCTCGGGTGGAAGCACGGGATTGGAGCTTGCGTCGTAAGCGCCTTGCGATTCCTCCACATCGGGTGTATTCTCTGTAAACAAAAGGCATCGATTAGGCTGGTAAGATTATGCCGTTTAACATCCGGTTACATGCAAGTTCTTGAATAGTCTCTCCTTAATTGATTCGTTTCATTATTAGCTTTTATCGTGCTATTACAAAATGACGTTGAAATCTAGCCGTTGCAGTGCCAAATATGCTTTAAGTTTCTCCAAAAGCTTATATATTTTTTATAAAAATGTTTGTTATAGCGAATTCGGTTGATCGCACTAGCGCGCACTGAGTGAATACTAAGGTTTATTTACAGTCAATTCTTATACTTAAGGATCGTCTTAAATACTCTTTGAAATACTTCCCGGCCAGTAAAACAATTTCTATAGCATTCGTACGGATCATTTCTTTTGGCTAAATAGTTTCTGGACATTTGGAAGAAAGTCTTCTATTATGAGATAGTAGGTTTTCAACGTGAAAATTCGATCGCAAATCCTTTTTCGTAACAATTACACGAACAATCAATTTTTCACTAAACAGCCGTTATTCTAGTGGAAAAAAATTCCTGGTGAAATCAATAGATGACATCTATTAATTTAGCAGAAACCCCCGCTACCTCATATTAGGAGCCTATCCCATACTAGGGGACTTACTTCCACTTGGGACGAGCATAAATATAAGCAACTAGTAAGAATATTCTTAAAGTCGCCAGAAGTAATTAATAAATTAATAACATCAGTGATTTTTATTGACCGTATCTGGCAATTAAAATTCTTATTGCGAAAAATATTACCCCAGCCAGGATTCGAACCTGGGACCTCCCTGGGACCATAAATATAAGAGTAGATTCTGAAGCCTTAGTGTGCACTCGGTGCACACTACCCATACAGCACAGATGATTGCGGTTACATTGCAGAAACGTTGCAATCTTGTAGACACATTGCAGGGATATAAAATTGCAAACTTTCGATAGCAATATTGCAGCAATGTTTCAAAAATAATGAAAATACTATATTTTCTATTTAAAAAATGTTTCTAATTACGAGTATTTTATAACGTTATTTTCGTTTATACCAATAATGCGCGAATTATTAAGTACTTGATCAGTGCGGTGTTGCTCGCAATCTCCGTCTATTGCGAAGCGACATAATCTCCTTAGGTTGCTTCGCAATAGCTTGCTGTGTATTAAAAAAGGCCCGGATGCATATGTAATTAGTAAATTCTCTGCTTATATACAACAACAAATTATTCCAAAAATATTGCACTGCAACATTGCTATAATGTCGCACTGCAATCTCTCTAAGGGCGGACATTTCAATGTTGCAGCAATGTTGCGCAACATTGCTGCAATATTGCAATCTTGCAATGTAACATTTCTGCAATCTTCCTGCAATCTTTCTGTGTTGTGTGGGTAGTGCGAGCCGCCAAATTCTCTATGAAATAAGCGAAGACTGACGATCCAAGACCCTCAAGTCGTACTTTCGTAACTTGCGCAACCACCAGACACGTACTTTGAAAGCTTATGGAAGACACATCCCCTGCTCTTGCCGGGCCTACCCTGGCCCTGGCGGTTCTAATCCTGGATCTCCTGGATGTCAACTCGAAGTCGTTCTCGAAGTCCTCCTGGCTGACGGAGCTGGACGCCATGCCTGTGATATCGCTGCAACGGAAGAATCCGCTTGTAACACACGCTCGTCGCACGCACGCGGGGCGTAAGAGCAGAGAGAGAGAGCACCACCCGCCGTAAGAATGTGCGTGTCGTGCAAAAGAAAGAGAAAATATAATGGGTCCTTACAAAAAATGCCTGGACATCTGAACAAAGGGTAGGTTGTGACGTGCGATACCTGCAGGGAGGGTCGATCCCGTTTCGTGCGGGGTGTCCGTCGATCTTTAATAGCGCTCGATCTATGCTACTGATCTCGTGGGACTTGTCTGAGAAAAAGGGAGAGGAAGAGAAGTCGAGAGGAGAGCTTCTTCGAAAAAAACAAAGAAAGAAAAAGGCCCGAAATCGCGGGCGAAAGAACGAAAGAACCCCCCCCCCCCCTCCGAGGAAACTGAGCGGAAAGGAGGAGACGCAAACGTGCGCAGGTAGAGCGAGAGCACGCAATCGCGGGGATCACCTGAGGTGGCCCTCGGCTGCCGATCCGGTGACTCACTGGCGACCCGAACGAGGGATTGACAGCTGTCAGCCGACGTGAACGACGACCATAAACATCGGCCGGGACGGGAGCATAGCTGAAGCGTAGCCGCGAGAACGGTGTATTGATCGTGGTGCCCGCGGTAGATTGGACCCGAGGGGACGCCGCCTTGACGACACCGTGCAACGTCTACGTCGGGCCGCGGCTCTCACCGTCGTCCGTGGAGAATCCGCGGAATCGCCGCTGTTGGCCGCGTCAGTAACTTGCTAAGCTTTCCTCGCTTTCGCTGCGCCAGGCCGCCCCCACCTTTAGCGTCAAACACGATGCGTAGTACGTTGGGTGACAGACGGCACTGGGAATAGTGGGAATTGGAAAGTGGGAAGGCGTTCGGAAAGCGCAGAGGATCGCGCGCGGCCATAGACGCAGCGCGAATCGAGAGCGGCCGCGAGGTCCGGGGCAATGTAGAACGAGAAGAGGCATCCGTTTCTTTCCGATCGAGAAAAAGAGAAGATAAGAGACAGACGAAAGGACTTCTAGATTCTTAAGGGGATGCTGGAGTGATTCTGCACTTTTGCACCTTTCTAACCTAAAAACTGTCAGTTCACGGAAACATTTGTATAATATACAAATTAAATGGCTTACGTGTACAGATCGAAAGCAGCTTGCTATTCCGGCCAAATGAAAGAACAATATGGCACCACTGAAACTAAGTTTGTAAGTCTAATAAAAAATAATAGTGAGCAACACACATACTACATGTACTGTATGTATGTGTTGCTCACTATTATTTTTTATTAGACTTA